GGTCCCGGTCCGGTACGGGCGCGACACTGAGGGTTGCGATCCGTTGCCGGTCACGGAAAAAAAGACAAAAAGAAAAAAAAAAAGAAAGTAAGTTAGATTCAAAGTAAAGTACACACCTCAGCCAGCAAAGTGCTGGCACCACTAGGAAAGTGAGCAGCAACAGCCCTGCCTTTGGATGGGATTCAGCTTTTATAGTTTTTCTACCTAGTGAATATTCAGTTAAGGGGGTGGTTCCCAGTTGTATGCCCCAGAATGTACCGTGCTCTCTATTGAGCATGCCCAGCCACTGGATTGCATAAGCCAGCCATGCTGTTTCATACACCCCCCGCCCTGCGTTGGTGCTAAAAATAGGTCTAACTGGCAACAGTTACTTTCTGCCAGGGGAGAGCTCAGAGGAGAGGGTCTGAGACCTCAGGGTGTAGCTGGAAATCCAGAGGCATGTCCTGAAACCCAAGCGCAGGAAAACTGAGCACCTCCTGTATCACGGTGATTGGCTGTATTTTCTCCACAGATACACTCAAGGTAAAGGAGAAGAAGAAGAAGAAGAGAGGACAGGTGAGCATGGACTTAGAAGCCAGTGCACAGCTCATTTGGCCACCTGAAGGGATTTTAAGGTTATTTGGTTTTCTTGGGCCCTTTTGGCTAAATTCTCATTCTTTTTTGATTTTCTGGTGTAGGAAGCAGGAGGATTTTTTGAAGATGCATCTCAGTATGATGAAAACCTCTCATTCCAGGACATGAACCTTTCGCGCCCTCTGTTGAAGGTAGTGACTTCTTTTGGCAACCATAGGATTATTGCAGTAGCCCCTGACTGGAGCCCTGCTTCCCACTCTGCCTCCCTCAACTCTGTTGTCCAAACGGCTGCCAGAGAACCCTCTTACACAATAAGTTCCATCATGTCCCTTCTCTTCTCCAAGCCCTCCAGTGGCTCCCAGTTTCACTTGGCATAAAAACTGAAGTCCTTGCATTGACATACAAGGCTCTGCCCCTCTGGTCCCCTGTGATGGCGTCTCTAGCCCTCATGCTGCCCTGGCCACCCTGGCCTTGCCCTCAAACAGATCCTGCATTCTCTTCCTCAGGTCCTTTGCACCTTCTGTTCCCTCTGTCTGGAAGCCTCTTCCAGAAATCTCCAGGGGTGCTCCCTCATCTCCTTCGGGGTTCAATCCAGTATTCCTTGCTCAATGAGACTTTCCCTGTCAGCCCCCTGTGAATTGCAACACCCCCCTTCCCCAGCCCCCTTGACTGCTGTGTTTTTCTCCATATGACATGTGTTTGTCTTTTGGTCTGTTTCTTTCTATCAGATTGTAAGATTCCTGAGGGCAGGGTTTTCATTTCTTTTGTTTACTGCTGTATCCTCAGCTAGAACAGTGCCTCACACATATGAGGGTACTTCAAAAAGTTCATGGAAAAATAGAATTAAAAGGTAATACAAATCTTTCTATGATGTGGGCCAAGGCTAAGGTCTGGAATCCTCACAGCGCCAATTGTCTAGCCACATGACCATGCTAGTTGTTGGGCTCTTTTACTTGCTGGTAATCCTGCACCAACTGGGCTGATTGTCAAGCTAAGGCTGGGTCTGGAGCCCACAGGCCCCTCAAGCCTGTTCACAAACTGAGCCACCAACTCTTCACATGCCAGGCTGGGTCACCAGACCCCTTTACACAGGTCTGTGAGCTAGGTAACCAGCCAAAAAGGTCCCTGAAGCCATAGTTTGGAAAGCATGGCTGTGTAGGGTGGATGCCCGAGGCTGATGCCTGCCTGCTTCACTAAAACTTTCTTCTTTCTCTCTCTCTTTCTCGCTATCTCTCTCTCTCCCCTCTCTACCTCTCTCTCTCTCTTCTCTCTTCTCTTTCTCTCTCTGAAGAACACAAGAATAGCAACAAACCTAAAAAGATACAGTGGCGCACATGCGCACTAACCACACACACACACACACACACACACACACACACACACACACACACAATTTGCTTACAAAGGATGCTGAACCACACCCAACTGGACCCAAGGCGAGGGCCCTGACCAAACTATTCTGTTTTCCCAACACCTGAACTTTTTGAAGACCCCTGATAGTAGACACTGGATAAATATGGAATGAATGATGGGGAAGAATTGATGCAGTCACCACATGTCTGGAAACCTGAACTTTTTGAAGACCCCTGATAGTAGATACTGGATAAATATGGAATGAATGATGGGGAAGAATTGATGCAGTCACCACATGTCTGGAAACCTGCCCTGTTTGTTTCGTGCTGAGACTCCTGCCCCCTGCCCCATCTAACCCTGTGTTTTCTCTTCAGGCCATTACAGCCATGGGCTTCAAGCAGCCCACCCCAATCCAGAAGGCGTGCATACCTGTGGGACTCTTGGGGAAGGACATCTGTGCCTGTGCAGCCACTGGGACAGGTAAAAAGGATAGAGACTTGGGTGGGTGGAAGAATGTTTAACCCAGAACTAGGCTCTTGGTTGACTTACCAAAAGGCCAGTTTACTAAATATGCTTGGTTTTTGGAACTGTTTAAAAAGTTTACAGAAATTCATATTGGATTTGTGGTTTTAATGGCTCTTGAAGACTTGAGGTAACTTTAAGTTGACCAGATTCCATTTTGTCTTCATGGCAGCATTTTATAGAATTAGTCTGTTCCTGCCCTGGTTCCCTGTGGCTGTAGCTGGAGGGAACTGGGGAGATAGGGAAGGTCCTCTCTTGGGGAGAAAGACTGAGGAGGAGTCAGCACAGCCTGACTGCCAATCCCATAGGCTGGGAGATCTGAGCAGAAGGGAACAGGGGAAACCAGGCCTCTCTGTCTTGGCTCCCTAAAGCTGCAAGTTGTTGGGGGAGGGACAGATTGAACAGTCTAGTCTTTAAAATGCTGTGATGAAGGCAAAACGACAATGCTGTCTACTGCAAATACACAGCTCAGAGGAACATACCATCAGATGACTTGGCCTGTTCCTGCAGAGTCCAGGAATTGGCTTTCACGTGAACCTGAACGGGATGGGTGAAAGATCCTCAGCTCTGTCTCCTCAAGTCACAAGTGATAAATGACAGCAGTGTGTGTGGTCAGCACCACCTGGGTCACTCTTTGAAGTACTTAGTCCCTTCTCCTAAGCCACATAGCCAGTGTGTGCCACGCTGCATTCTAAAGACAATGTGTCAGGCTGGCTGGTTGCTCAGTTAGTTAGAGCGTAATGCTGATAACACCAAGGTCAAGGGTTTGGATCCCCCTACCAGCCAGCTGCCAAAAAATAAATAAATATTTTGTTGGGCCTCTGCCTCTTTCCATTTCTGTGGAAGAGCAAGGATTGCCACACTTTGCTCATTTACATGCTGCTGGCAAGAAGTTAAATGGTTCATCTATTTGGAGGCAGTTTGGCAGGACATAGCCTAACTCTTAAAAGTGTTAATAAGAATTATTCAATTATTGTATTTATACTAATTTATGCTAAAGAAATGAAGATGTAAGCAGGGCTTTTCAGAGGTCAAGAAGGCCTAACTCGCATCCGTATTTTGAGCAAGTGACAAAACCAGGACTTTAGGAACTACCGTTTGAAAGTTGTACAGTAAAAAAAAACTCTCCCATCTGCCCAATTCCCACCTCCTCATCCCAGTCACTTCTGTCAGTGTCTTTGGTATCCTCCAGAGTTTTTGCAAATGCAGTTAAAATACTTTTCGATACAAATGCAAATAAACACATAGATATCCCCCTCCTTTTATACAAAAGGTGGCAAAAAGTACATGGTCCCATGCAAGGCTTTTTTTATTTTTTATTTTTATTTTTATTTTTTTTCCCTTTTGTTTTTTTTACTGACCGGTAACGGGATCGTAACCCTCGGTGTTGTGCCCGCACCGCGCTCAGCCAGTGAGCGGGAACCAGTCTCCACATGGGATCCGAACCCTCGGCGGGAGCGCCGCTGCGCTCCCAAGTGGCGCACTCTCCAGTGCACCACCGGGCCGGCCCAGGCTTTTTTTATTTAATGGGATGTCTTGGATGTCTTTCTCTCAGAACATAGTGCAGTGGCAGAGCTGGCAGAGCACTCTTTTGTATGTGTGTTGTAGTGGATTTTATTTTTGTTACTTTGTATTTATTGCTTTTATTTTTTTTTGGTGGTTGGCTGGTATGGGGATCCAAACCCTTGACCTTGGTGGTGTCAACACCATGCTCTAACTAACTGAGCTAACCGGCCAACCCTATTTATTGCTTTTTAAATGAAGTTTAACTTATATACAGTAAAGCCCCCAAATCCTAAGTGTACAGCTTGATGAATTTTTATATATGCATGTACACATGTGATCACATGGTGATATATTTTAAATGTTTAAATATAACAACACAAGAAAGATATACTAATGCAATTCAGAGGATAAAGGATCTTTTTATTTTTAATGTTTTTATTTTGAAATGATCATAGATCAATAGGAAGTTTCAAAAATAGTGTATAGAGTCTCTTTAATTCACCCAATGGTGACATTCCACATAACTGCAGGACCATATCAAAATCAGGAAACTGGCATTGATACCAGATGGCATTGATACCAGTGTTAACCAGACTGCAGAGCTTATTCAATCTAATAAAGGATTTATTATTTTCTTTAAATAAACAGTGTATGAGAGGAGATCCAGTCTAGTAATGGGTCACAGGTTTCAAAGGGTCTGGTGAAGATCATCTTCATTTAACCTTATCAGGGTATCTCTGTGACCAAGGCTTCCTGGCCCTGCTATAATAGGCCCTTCCTAGAAGGAAAGATTTTATAAAAGGGATGTCTGTTACTATTTTGTATATTAGTGAAAAACAGCCTAAATGTCTAACCATAGGAATCAGTTAATTATATAGTAGAAATAGTCAAGTACTAGAATATCATGCAACCATTTAGAAAAAGTAAAGAGTACTTTAAAAAAGGGGAAATAGCTCAGTTGGTTAGAGCATGGTGTTATAACACCAAGGTCAAGTGTTCAAATCCCCAAACTGACCAACACCAGAAAAAAGGGGAGGGGAAGGAATATATAGTCTTAAGGTTTTTTTGTTTTGTTTTCTTTTGGTTTTGGCAGCTAGCTAGTACAAGGATTGAACCCTGGACTTTGCTGTTATCAGCACCATGCTCTACTGAGCTAACCAGCCTATTCTTAAATTTTTTTTTTTTTTTTTTGTCAATATACAATGTAGTTGATTATTATGTCCCATCACTGAAACCTCCCTCCCTCCTCCCTCTCCCCCCTCCCACCCAAGTGTGTCCCCTCCATTTGCTTGTTGTAAGAACTTCAAAAAAACACCCTATTTACCCAGTGTAACATTTTGCATAACTACAGTATAATATCATAAGCAGAAAATTTATATGAAATCTATCAACTTGATTCAGATTTACACAAACTCATTTGTGTGTGTTTAGTTTTATGCAGTTTTATCACAAGTGTCATCCCTATGACAACCACTGCAGCCAAGACACACAACAGTTCCTCCATACAGATCACTTCCGCTACCTTTTGTAGCCACAGCCACTTCCCATGACAACCACTAATATGTTCTCTATTTTTATAATTTTGTCATGTTATTTTCAAGAAAGTTATGGAAGTAGAGTCATAAAGTACGTATCCTTTCTGAGATTGGCAGTTTTCACTCAGCACGATTCCCTTGAGATCCATCTAAGTCATTGGCTGTATCAAGCGGTTTGTTCCTTTTAAATTTTTGAAAAGAGAAGTTACAAGTGGTGTACTAATGGTTACAAAACTATGCTATTTACCTTAAGTGAATCATTGTGCAGTATATGCATGTATTGAAACAACACACTGTACCCCACAAAAATGAATATAAATTTTAAAAAAAAGAGAAGTTACAAAACAGAATCTGTAGTGTTATCACATTAAAAGTTTTTGAATATTTCTGTTCATAAAAAAAATTGGTAATATAGATACCATTATGTTAATAATATTTATCTCGGGCCAACCCCGTGGCACACTCGGGAGAGTGCGGCACTGGGAGCGCAGCGGTGCTCCCACCGCGGGTTTGGATCCTATATAGGCGCCGCGGGTTCAAATCCTATATAGGGATGGCCGGTGCGCTCACTGGCTGAGCGCGGTGCGGGTGACACCAAGCCAAGGGTTGTGATTCCCTTACCGGTCATAAAAAGGACCAAAAAAATAAATAAATAAAATAAAATAATATTTATCTCTAGTTGGCTGAATCATGGATGATTTTTACTGTTGTCATGCTTTTTTTTTGTTTTTCCCAGATATTTTTACATTGACCGTGTGGTTTGAAATCAGAAAAAAAGTTCTGGGGAAAATAAGTTGCTTCATGTCACCAGAAATGTAGGTTTTCTGTGCTCAGGTGAAAACCTGAACCTGGAAGGAATTGGACCTTTTCTCATTGCTTTTCCTCTGCCCTTCCCTCCCCCTAGGTAAAACTGCTGCTTTTGCCCTGCCCGTCCTGGAGCGGCTGATCTACAAACCCCGCCAGGCTCCAGTGACCCGCGTGCTGGTGCTGGTCCCTACCCGAGAGCTGGGCATCCAGGTACACTCTGTCACCAAGCAGCTAGCCCAGTTCTGCAATATCACCACCTGCCTGGCTGTGGGTGAGTTTCTGGCTGAGGACTGCCAGCCCCTGAGAGACCTTGGCATGGTGGACGATGGATGTGCCCCACTGTCTGTGGATGATGGGTGCCAAGAAAGGCCTTTATATGTTGATTGAATCCCCTTAAAAACGGGATGACATTTTCATAGTAGATAGTAGGGAGAGGGGAAGATTTGATTGAGACTTTGAAAACAATTTTCTTGCTATTGAACAAGTTTAGTATATAATTTCTGCTTAGTGTAAGTAATGAATCAAACATTATTTTGAGCAAAATTTTTTCTGATGGGTATATGATAATGTTAGCTAACCTGCCTTTTACTCTCCTTATGCAATTGGAAGTCACAGGTGATGTTTGTCCTCAGGTACAGACACCATCAATTTTCATAGCTGCTTCTCTCAGTCCTTGGATTTTTCAGTCATTCTATTCTGAAGTGCCTTTGTGTCATCACCTTTTTTGACTTTTGCACTTAGCACAACTGTAATGAAATAGTCTCTCTCCCAATGTATTGTAAAAGCCATGTGGGCGGGGCCTTCATCAGTCTTGTTCTCTGCTGTTTCCTCTGCATTTGGGATGAGACCTGGTAGGTGACAGGTGTTCAGTCAGTAGTGAATGACTGAATAGTCAAGGGTGAGTGACTAAACCGGCCACCTGGTGGAGTTGTCCTCTTTGCAGGTGGCCTGGATGTGAAGTCTCAGGAAGCAGTTCTTCGGGCAGCGCCTGACATCCTCATTGCCACCCCAGGTCGGCTCATTGATCACCTCCACAACTGCCCTTCCTTCCACCTGAATAGCATCGAAGTGCTCATACTCGATGAGGCTGACAGGTACACCTCAAATGGAGGGCCCCGGGCACTTGGGGTCCCAAGGGCCTTACCCCCGGATGTGGACCTGCCACCCAGCATTATTCTACGTGGCTCTCGGCCTTCACCACTGGTGTGTGATACTACTTCAGCTGCCCACACTTGGGCGTCTGTCCATCCTTGGCCCGGATTTTCGTGCTTGCCTTCTTTCTCTTTTTTGTAATGTGATGGTCAAGAGGTAAGTTAGGTCAAATGTGGGCTCTGCCACTTCCCAACTGAAATTTGGAGATGTTATTTAGGTTCTCAGAGTAAAACCTTTTCTTATTTGTAAATAGAGGATAAGAATAGTAACCACCTCCTGGTGCTGAGGATCCAAGAAGTGAGGTGGGAAAGTGCCAGTGCTCAGTGAGGCTCCAGCAGCCTCTGTGACTTGGATGGAGACTCCCTCCCTCCTGCCCTCCCTTAGTCCTCCTCTTTTCTCCCTCTCTCTCTTCCTTTTTCTCATACGGGTCCCATCTGTGCACCTCTTTCCTCTGTGAATGAACTCTCAATGAACTGGACTTGATGATGGAAGTGGGGCAGTGGAGAGAGGTCACAATCACTCCAGAGCCTGCTAAGGTTTACTTTTGAAGCTTCTGATCTCATGTGGTCCTCCCCATCTCCTCCCTGTCTCAGTGGCTGGCAACTCTGTCCTTCTGCTGTTCAGGCTGGAATTCTTAGCGCCTGCTCTCATGTTCACACCACATAGCACACCCCACTTGGGGCTTCTGCACTTGCTGTCCCTCAGCTGGGAACACTCTCCTTTACTCCTTCTGGTTTCAGGTGCAGTTGCCACTTCATTGGAGGGGCCTGTGCTGACCACTCTGTGATGGTTCCTGCCCTGCCTCGCTCCTCCCTTCCTGCTTTTGTTCTGTGAGGTCCTGTGACTCTCTGACCTACTACATTATCACTTGAGTGTTCTCATAGTATACTTGTCCCTCCTTTCCCCCTAGAATGCAACATTCATGAAGGGGATGTTGCTGTATTCCCTGTGCCCAGAGACATGTCTAATCTCTAGCAGGTGCTCAATAAGTATTTGTTTAATAACCACTTGACTGACTCCCCCAGAGCAAATGAACCATTCCTGAGGCCTAAAGGAAGTAAAGGAGATCATTGTAAGCCAAGGGGACATGACCTGATTTATGTTTTAAAGGGCAGGGAAACTGTATTCTTCAAAAATGTCTCAAAAGACCAAGAAAGGCTGAGGAAACATTTCAGATTATGGAGACTAAGACAATGCGACAGCTCAGGGCAATCCCAGATCCTAGACTGGAGCCTGTGCTGGGGGAGAGATGCTGGAAAGGATTGGGTCAGTTGTAAAAACTGGAGTCAGAGTAATCTCACAGATTATTATTATCTTCAAAGAGAAAAAGGTTCCTTTACAGTGGAGAAATCTGGCAGATACCACCATAACCAGATGCCCAAACTCACATCAGTGGTTCTGGAAGAGACTGACCATCAGTGTCTCCTGCTGGAGTGAGAGCATAGGGTACAGCCAAACCTAACAGCATTGTGCCAGCAATGATTTATCTGAATCCAGTCACCAGGAAGCAATTAGACAAATTTAGAGTGTAAAAAGGGGCAAGGAGACTGTTCTCGATTAAGAGAGACAAGAGACATGACAGCCAATTGCAACTCAGGAACTTGCATTCTTGGACTAAAATAAAAGCTACAAAATGACATTTGGGGATAGTGGAGGACGTTTGAATGTGGGCTGTACTTTAGACATTATTCAAACACTTAAATGTCTTGGGTGTGATGATGTCGTTGTGGTTATGTAGGAGAAGGTCGCTGTCCTTCGGAGATGTGGGCTGACATATTTGGGGGTAAAGTATAATGACATCTGCACCTGACTTGCAAATAGTTCAGCGAGCAAAAAAGAAAGGGCAAATGTGGTAAAATGATCATTCCTAGTGAATCTTAGTGAATGGGTAAAATGACAATAATAATCATACTCAATCAATCAATCAGTCAATCCTCAAAACAACTGCTGACAACAAAACATTGGCCTGTGTGCTCTTCCCTGTCCTCACTGTGACGGAAGAGCACTCACCCATTTCTGCCATATGCTTGCTCTCCCTGCTCGCCAGGATGCTGGACGAGTACTTTGAGGAGCAGATGAAGGAGATCATTCGAATGTGTTCCCACCACCGCCAGACGATGCTCTTCTCGGCCACCATGACGGACGAGGTGGGCTGAGGGGCTTCTCCATGGTGCCTGTCCTTGGAAGGGGCCATGCAGAGGATCCCGGCCACGCTCAAAGGGGGTTGCCCAGGAGGAGCACTGCCACCTCCTTCCCCATCTCCTCACAGAGAGCTGAGCAAACCCAGTTCTGTGCTTGGCAGGTGAAAGACCTGGCTTCTGTCTCCTTGAAGAATCCCGTCCGCATATTTGTGAACAGCAACACGGACGTGGCTCCCTTCTTGCGGCAGGAATTCATACGGATCCGGCCCAATCGGGAAGGAGACCGGGAAGCCATCGTGGCAGGTGGAAACCTAGGCGGGACTGGGCAGAGGGGTGGTTGACTCCCTTGGGCTCATGGGTGTCTACACTGAAGCGCGCCTCCTCCCTCCAGGCCTCCCTAGCTCAGCGTGTGGCCCTGCCATCATCCTCTGCATAACTTTTCCATCTGACCTTCCTCCCTTTTCTTTATCGCCTCACCTCTCTCCTGCCACTGAGTCCTCTTTATGTCGCACTGAACTCCCAACCACTTTGCACCAACTGCCACCCTGGCCCACTAGTGAGACTGCTGCTGTCTGCTGCCTGGAGTATTGCCACAGCCTCTCACTTGCTCTTCCTGCTTCTGCTGGGCCCTTTGTCACTCATTCCTCACGCTGCAGGTCATTAAGATGATTGCTTATAAAAGAACACTCGCTCTTGTTACTTCCTTATTTGACACCTTGTGTGGCTCCCATTATCTCATGCCAAAATTCAAGACTCCCTAGTGAGTCCTACAGGACCTGGCCCTTGTCTGCCCTGTGTCCTCAGCCGTGGAGGCTTGCTCATGGCTCCAGCCACACTCACCTGCTTGTGGCCTTTACGTTTGTTCTTTCTTTTGCCTGGATTCTTCCCCCGAATCTTCTCATGGATGATCTGCCTTGTCATTCAACCTAATGTCACCTCTTCAGAGAGGCCAGCCCTAAAACTGCCTCCCTTATCCTCCCTTCACTCTCTGTCATGACATTTGTTACCCTCGCGAATTGGCTTCTCTGTCTCTGCCCTGGAATGTGAGCTCCACAGGGCAGGGATGGTGCCAGTCTCCCCCAGTGCCAGGCACACAGACGTGCTTCGCAGGTGAGGAGGGGCACAGGTTGAGTAAGAGCCTCGAAATGGCTTCCAGTTCACTCTTTCCTCTCTGCCAGCTCTGTTGACGAGAACCTTTACCGACCACGTGATGCTGTTCACCCAGACCAAGAAACAGGCGCACCGCATGCACATCCTCCTGGGGCTCATGGGGCTGCAGGTGGGCGAGCTGCATGGCAACCTGTCCCAGACGCAGCGGCTGGAGGCCCTCCGGTAACGTGCGAGTGGGGCTCAGGCTCCCACCCACCCTTCTTGGGCAGGTCAGATAGAGGGAAAAATAGGACCTAAAAGGCTATGTTAGAGCAATAGCAGGGGACACAGCACAATTCCTGCTTTAAAAATCTTAATCTATGGGCCGGCCCGGTGGCGCACTGCTACAGTGCGCCGCTTGGGAAGTGTGGCGGCGCTCCCGCCGAGGGTTCGGATCCCACATACGGACCGGCCGCTCACTGGCTGAGCGCGGTGCGGGAGCGACACCGAGGGTTGCGATCCCGTGGCCGGTCCCGGTCCGGTGCGGGCGCGACACTGAGGGTTGCGATCCGTTGCCGGACACGAAAAAAGACAAAAAGGAAAAAAAAATAAAAATAAAAATCTTAATCTAACCACTGTAAGGTCATGTCTTAGGTGCACTTAGAACTCTGATGTTATAGTCTCATGGAAGATGACTCCTAGGACCCAGGATGCTCATCCCCAGGACCCGGTCTCTTAAGTGTGGCTGCAGCAGGGACTTCTGACTTAGAAAGATGGCACGTGGTCTGTTCTCTGCAGCTTTCCCAGAGCAGTAGACATACCTGCATCTGATTGAACAAGAGTTGGAATCAAAGCCAGCAGCCATTTCTTGAGCATCTACTTTGCCAGATGCTGTGCTGCGTGCTTTTCCTTGTGATTTCTTGTTAAATTCTCACAGAATTGAGTAAAGCTGATAGGCTGGAGGTCTCCACCTGTCCCTGTTCATTAGAGGATGCTGAGAGGTGTTCCTTAAAGAAAGGCTGATTTGAACACATTAACCTATGCTCTGTCCTGTAGTCTAGCTCAGTGGTTTCCAAACTTTAATATGTATAGGAATTAAGATAGTATACACAAAACTACATTTACTCTACATAATGGGTTGTTGCACATATCAGGTGGGCTGGCATTTAGAATCTGTCCCTACTGTGATAATCTGTAACTTGCTGCTTGACTCCAAAAGGATTTGTGGTGACTTTAATGAACTGCTATGTTCTCTGCTAGTTCAGGCTCCTGTGGAGCATTATTGGGGTAGTTTCTGAATGAACATCTCTGTTTGTAACTATTTTTAGGCGCTTTAAGGATGAACAGATTGACATCCTCGTGGCCACAGATGTGGCAGCCCGTGGTCTTGACATTGAGGGGGTCAAAACGGTGAGCAGGCCTTATCTTTCTTGAACTTGTGGTGGGAGTGTTTTTGCCTCCTCACAGCCCAACCCAGTCTGAACAATGCTCAGTTTTGACCTTCCAGGTCATCAACTTCACGATGCCCAATACTATCAAGCATTACGTCCACCGGGTGGGGCGAACAGCGCGTGCCGGCAGGGCTGGGCGCTCGGTCTCTCTGGTGGGAGAAGAGGAGCGGAAAATGCTGAAGGAGATCGTGAAGGCCGCCAAGGCCCCTGTGAAGGCTCGGATACTCCCCCAAGGTGAGGAGTCACTGCTGTAGCAGTGCAGGAAGGTTCTGGTGAGCAGGGCAGGGGCAGAGTGTGATGGCTGAGAGCAGGGGTCTTGCAATCAGGAGCCAGATATGAATCCCAGCTCTGCCATTTCCTTACTGAGTGACCTGGGCAGGTCTCACCTCCCCTCACTGAGCTTCAGTTTTCCTGTGTGTAAAAGAGATAATGGTAGAATTGTAAAGGCAGTGCCCCACTCATAGGTATTTTCCTATGGGAAATTGGGAAGAAAAGGTCTCTTCTCACTAACCTCTGCCCACTTCCTGTTGGTGGGGGGCAAAAGGTGGGGAAGAGATCAGCACTCATTCTTTTTGGATATCTAATCTGTAGGTATCATATATAGTACATCCTCTTTAAATTTTTTTTTTCTTTTTGAGGCTGGCTGGTACAGGGATCTGATAAAATTATTATTATTATTTTTTGCAACTGGCTAGTACAGGGATCCAAACCTGTGACCTTGGTGTTATAAGGCTGTGCTCTATCCAGCTGAGCTAACCAGCCAGCGTAAAATTATTTTCTTTAAGTTACAAAAATAATAGGTATTCATTGTTGGAAATTGGTAAATAAAATGCATAACAATGCAATTCTATGTCAAAGAGCTCAGCATAGTTAGCATTTAGGTACATATCCTTTCAGACCTTTTTTCCATTCATAGGTGTCTCTCTTTTTTTCTTTTTCATTTTCATTCAGTCAGCAAATTGTTGAATCAGTTATTGAGAGCTGCTGTGTGCCTGGTGTTATTTATTCTGTTCTAGGTGCTGGGTATACAGCAGGGAGCGAAACAGCTAACAATTCTGATGGGAAAGAGACAGTAAATAAACTAATAGTAGATGTGATCAAGAATGACAGGAGGAGAGGTGCCTACTTTAGAAAAGCTGTTCAGGAAAGGCCTGTGATCAGCTGGCATTTGAGCCGAGTCCTGGATGGTAAGATTGAGGTGGCCATGAGTGATCTGGGCCAGAGTGTGCCCAGCTGAGAGAACAAAGGTAAAGGCTCTGAGGCGGGAATGAGGTTGGTGTGTGAGTAAAAGAGAAGGCAGGTCTGGGGCCCAGGGCATGTGAGCCAGGGAGACATAGAATGGAGAGGTAGGCAGGGGCCACTCTTTGGAGTTTGGAAGTGATTCCAGCAGCAGCAGGAAGCCTTTGCCTCCAGAGGCTGCTGTTGCTAAGTAGAGAAGTGACACATTAAAAAACACAATTTTCTATGTCAGTAAATACACAGCTACATTATTTTCATCAGCTACCTTATTTTCATAGTGTTAATGTTCACCCTTATTTGTAAATCCTTTTTATTCTCTCCTCTCAAGATGTTATCCTCAAATTCCGGGACAAAATCGAGAAAATGGAGAAAGACGTGTATGCCGTTCTGCAGCTAGAGGCAGAGGAAAAGGAGATGCAGCAGTCGGAAGCGCAGGTGAGGCAGTGAGGAGGGTCTCTCAGTCCGCAAGTGGCACGTCCTGCAATTCTGCCCTTCAGAAACGTTCGTGTGGCATCAGAGCCCAGGGTGTTTGCAGGCAGTGGCTTCCTGCAGCTGCCGTGTCAGTTATTGGCAGATACAGGTGTCACAGCAGGCAGTCTTTTGCTGTCCCCTCAGATCAACACAGCAAAGCGGCTCCTGGAGAAGGGGAAGGAGGCCCGGGACCAAGAGCCTGAGAGGAGCTGGTTCCAGACCAAAGAAGAGAGGAAGAAGGAAAAAAGTAAGGCAGGGTTTCTCAAAAAGCTAAGCATAGGACTACCATAGGTCCCAGCAAATCCACTCCTAGGTATGTCCCACAAAGAACTGAAAACAGGGACTCAAGTGGGTCCTTGGATGCCAGTGTTCTTTGAAGCTGTAAGGAGGAACTTTGAAAACCCTATGCTGAGTGAAATAATCCAGACATGACCTAGGGCTGGGGAGGGGAGGAGGGGCAGTTACTGCTTAGTGGTTACAGAGCTTGTGTTTGGGATGATGATAATGTGTTGCCTTCCCTGTTAGGAGTTTTGGAAACAGATGGTGATGATTGTGCAACATCGTGAATATAATCAATGCCACTGTACACTTAGGAATGGGTAAAATGGCATTTTATGTTATATATATTTTACCACAATACAAAATTTTTTTAAAAAGCTATATATTCGGGCTGGCCTGTGGCTCACTCGGGAGAGTGCGGTGCTGATAACACCAAGGCCACGGGTTCGGATCCCATATAGGGATGGCCGGTTCGCTCACTGCCTGAGCGTGGTGCTGACAACACCAAGTCAAGTGTTGTCCCCTTACCGGTCATCTTTAAAAAAAAAAAAAAAAAGCTGTATATTCATTTTTCCTCTTCCCTTTTAAAAGAGAAGAAAACAAAACACTAATGAATTCACATTGTTCTCTACATTGCTTTTTTCACTTAATTTTGTAGTTTGGAGATCACTTTATATAGGCACATGTATAGCTGCTTTATTATCTTTTTTTTTTTTTTTGTCTTTTGTCTTTTTTCCGTGTCCAGCAACGGATCGCAACCCTCAGTGTTGCCCCCGTACCGGACCGGGGACCAGCAACGGGATCGCAACCCTCGGTGTTGCTCCCGTGCCCCGCTCAGCCAGTGAGCGGGAACCGGTCTGCACGTGGGATCCGAACCCTCGGGCGGGAGCGCCACCGCGCTTCCCAAGCGGCGCACTATCCAGTGCGCCACCGGGCCGGCCCCTTTATTATCTTTTTTAATGGCTGCATGATCTTCCATTATTTGGGTAGGTCATAATTTATTAACTAGTCCCCTGCTGAGGGACTTTACAGTTGTTTCCAATCTGTTGCCATTATAACAAGCAACGTAGTAAATAACCTTGTACGTATGCCCTTTTACCATTAAGCAAGTAGAGTTATAACTATATGAGGGTTCTTCAGAAAGTTCATGGGAAAATTATATTATCTTTTATTTTTCCATGAGCTTTTTGAACTACCCTCATATTGGTGGGAAGGTGTGGGGGTAGTATAAGTAAACTAAATCCTCATTTTTCATGACAAGAGGTTGATGGATAATGAATGTCTTAAATGGATTAATCAAGACTAGTTGAATAAGCGTGTTTAGTGAGATGGAGGTAGTCACCAGAAGACGAAGTGATTGCTGCTTTCCACTTTATGTTGTTATGTACCAATTTAAAATATGTGCCCTTCTTATTGTAAGTTTTTAAAAAGCTGTAAAATCGTCCCTGTAATCTCATGCTCCCTTCTCATCCCAGTTGCCAAGGCTCTGCAGGAATTTGACTTGGCCTTAAGAGGAAAGAAGAAAAGGAAGAAGTTCATGAAGGATGCCAAGAAAAAGGGGGAGATGACGGTGAGTCTCCTCCCTTTGGCATTTGGGGGTGGGTCAGAGTGGCCTGGTTTTTTCCGCACTCTCACCTCCCTCTTCTCTCTAGGCAGAGGAAAGGTCTCAGTTTGAAATCCTCAAGGCGCAGATGTTTGCTGAGCGACTGGCCAAGAGGAATCGCAGAGCCAAGCGAGCCCGAGCAATGCCTGAGGAGGAACCAGCGAGAGGCCCTGGTAGGTGGATGGGGAGCCCCTAGGAGCTTGCAGGAGGGTTCTCCCTGAAATCTGGGCTTATGGTCAGGGAGAAAATTTGAGTGATGATGAGAACAGTCCACATTTTTTCAGTAATTAGTACGTACCAATGTGTACAGCTGTCCCTTCATTGGCTCCGATGGGTGGAGTGACCCAGTGGTTGGTGGGGAGAGCTAGGATTCCAACTCCAGTCTTTCTGACTCAGGAGCCTAAGTCCTTACCAACTGCTTTGTAGAGAAGCTGGTGAGGGTAGAATGAAGTAAAGACAGTCTTTGCGTGCCAGAGCATCTACTGAACTTGGAATCATTACCTTGAGCTTAAGAGGATTTAGGAGTTTGGGTCAAAGAGGACTATTCTAACCCATTCTCTCTGTGCACAGCCAAGAAGCAAAAGCAGGGGAAGAAATCTGTATTTGATGAAGAACTCACCAACACGAGCAAGAAGGCCCTGAAACAGTATCGAGCTGGGTAAGGTTTTAAGTCGTCATGGAGCCCTTGGTGTTCTGATGGAAGCTATGAATCTCTCCTTCCTTTCCCACTCCTAATTCTCACGTATCCATAGCTTTATAATACATAAGTTCAAGGGCACCTGTCTGCCCCCTACCCCATCCCCTGCCTGCCTATCTGTGGATCCCAGGGTGAGAACAGGAGGAGGGAGGTGTTAAGATCCTGCTGCTCTTTTACAGTGTTAAAGTCCTCTTATTTGGAGGTGAAATGGCACGTTTTGGGGTTCAGAAATAGTGTCAGGGTCAGTCCTGTAGAACCTCAAATAATCCTGCCTTGCTCTTGGGAATGTGTTGTCTAGCCCCACTTTCCCCAGCCCAGGGCTGGGGTGGGAACAGAGAAAGCTTCCCAAAGTAGTTTTATTATATACAGGAGAAGGAAGGACCTCTTCCAACCTTGTTTTAAAGCTGGGCCCTGGCTGGCCGGTTAGTTCAGTTGGTTAAAGTGTAGCCTTGTAACACCGAGGTCATGAGTTCAGATGCCAGTACTGGCCAGCTGTCAAAAATAAAATAAAAATAAAGCTGGGCCCTGACTTCCAGAAACATATTATTAGGTGGGCACACGTAGAGGCTTAGAACCTAGGCCTGAAAATGATGCATCCCAGGGATGTGACTGCTTCTGTGGGAGCTTGGGGGGGTGGGGGGAGGGGGCTGCAGCAGTACCCATCTGTCCAGCAGCTTGCCTGTTTCAACATCTCATCTTGTCTCTCACAGCCCTTCCTTTGAAGAAAGGAAAAAGTTGGGCTTGCCCCACCAGAGACGAGGAGGAAACTTTAAATCTAAATCCAGGTGATGTTTGTAGTTTTGGAAGGCCAGAGGTTATTACTGTTTGGTATTGGAGAAGAAGCCTTTCATGGTAAAGGAACTTCTCATTCCTCTTTCTGTTCTTAACTCTGCTTATTTTCTTAATAGATACAAGAGGAGGAAGTAACTGTGGCAACCTGGAGAAGTTCATGGGGCAACCCTTAACTCCCTTCCCTGTGGGAAGTCATCCTGGCTTGGTGTGTCTTTTCTGCATTTGTAAAAAATTTCTCGAAAAGTCTGTGTCATTTGTGCATTAAAAAAAAAAAAAAAAGTTGGCAGTGGTAGTATGTAGCTATATCTTAAGTATTTCCGTCAATAATCAGCCAGTCTTCCTTTCTTGCTGGTTAGCTTTCATATAATGAATATACCAAAGGGAAGAAGTATTTTTGGGGAGGAGGGAAGAAATCAATCTAATGGTATATCTATCTCTTCCCTCAGTGGCAAAGTCTACCCACTATCTACTAGCTTGGCACTGCCCCATACTCTTGGAATGCATAATCTTCGTGCTTGTTGTGGAGCTAGGTGTGGAGTTAGGAAATTCTCACTAGAAGTTGTCTTCTGTTGATGTCCTAGAAGTAAAAGCTATTATTGAGCACCAACCACGTGCCAGACATTCTGTGTGCTGAGCAGTGACTAACTCAACTCACTGCACCCCTATGATCTCCATTTTGCTGATAAAGAGGCTTGGAAAGCCTGACTTTCCAGAGTTACATACCCGGGAATCCAGATTTTTGAAGCCAGTGTCTACTTGAACCCATGCCCTGACTCTTACTGCTATACTGTGGAAGTGCTGCTGGAGAAATGGAAGCTGAAAGAGGACAAAAGGAGCCCCGACACCATAAATTAGCACCTCATTGCAGAAACCAGCTTTTACCCTGTAGAGTGGTGGTTATCATCCTTTTCTGAATCACAGGTCAGAAATTTGAGAATTACCTGAAAGCTGTGAGGTTACCCCTTGGGAAAACTTTTTCGTAGTTCATGTCATATATAATTCCAGGGAGTACACAGACATCCCCCTTCCCCAGCTTAAAAATTATAATAGTTACCCTGTAGCACACACCCTGGACACTAAAGGGTGTGTTCAAAGCTCTTTATTCAGGCTGTACCTAAGAGTCACCAACAGAAGTTCCAATCAAGAAAATGGTGGTACCCTTGTGATGGAGTTTGGATGTATTGTCCTCCCAGAATTCATGGAAATTTGATCCCAAATGTGGCAGTGTTGGAAACTGATTGAGTCATGGGGGTGGATCCCTCATGAATGGATTAATGCTCTCCCTGGGGGTGAGGGGCATGAGTGAGTTCTCGCTCTGTTAGTTCCCACAAGAGCTGGTTGTTTATAGGACCCTAGCACCTCCTCTCTCTTGCTTCCTCTCGCCATGTGACCTGCTTGTACCTGCCAGCTGCCTGCCACTTTCTGCCATGAGTAGAAGCAGCCTGAGGCCCATGTCACATGCAGCTGTCCCAGAATCGTAAGCCAAATAAATCTCTGTTCTTTATAAATTACCCAGTCTCAGGTATTTCTGTTATAGCAACACAAACGGACTAATAACACCTTGTGAGTGGGATTAGTGCCCTTATAAAAAGAGGCCTTGGGGAGCTTGTTTGCCCTTCCACCATGTGGGGGCACAGCAAAGAGTGATTTCTCACCAGACACTGAATCTGCTGGCATGTTGATCTTGCACTTCCCAGCCTCCAGAACTGTGAGAAGTTGTGAGAAATTGTTCTGTTGTTTATAAATTACCCAATCTAAGGTACATTGTTTTTAAGCAGCCCGAAGGGACTAAGACATTATTTTTCTAATTCTTTTTTCTTGATGTATTAATTTCAGGCAATTAAGAGAAGGCATTCACATTTGCAGGCAACAAGAATGTATCGTCATTTTGTAAAATTGTAAAGACTAGTAAAAGTACTAAGGTGATTAAAATATTTTCTACTCTATATACTAATGAAAAGGGTAGGTTAGGCTAAAAAAGCCAAGTGCAGAACTGTGTACTTTTCTTTTTTTAAGGGGATATATATTGCATATGCAATTTATCTTTAGGAGGACCCATGAAGCTAACAGCATTGCTTCTAGGGAAGGAAACTTCAAGTGTACCTTTTTGTAAAGGTCGAAAAAAAATGTTTCTTTTTACCTTGGGTAAAAATGACCCACCAACTAAATAAAAACCCCATACCACAAAAACAAACAAAATGCATGGCCTCATTGTAGGCAGTGCCTGCCCGGTCCCTGTTCTCTGTGTCAGGCTGCCTTAGTTGCTTCTAGAAGGTGAGGACAGACATGGACCACTGATGTTCTCAATCGTTGTCTTTATTAATTGGCTTTATAAGCTAAAGTGCATAGTAAAGACAAAAAAAGAAATGCATACATAGGAAAGGGGCATTTTTCTTGCCCACATTAGAAAGGACCTGAGATGGCTAAATGTCAGTTCTAAGGAACACTGGATCAAGGGAATGCATATGCAGGCAGCAGGCCTGGGTGCTGGCTTCTGGCCTTGCAATGGGGCCTGTAGAAGCTGCTGGCATGCTAACCCTGCCCCAGGCAAAAGCTGTAAGAGAGGATGTTGGGATGAAGGATCACACATGGGATAGGTGCTGCTGGTAATGAATGGGAGTTTAGCTCCATACAGGGCCTTGGGGGAACCAGCACTGCTACCAAAACTCTCCTATAGCAGGTCAAGAAATCTCCACCATCCCAAAAATACAAGTCACAGGAAATGGTATGGGATCACTCAGCCTGGGCCTGCTGCATAAGTCTGCAGATGTGTGTAGTTCCACTTTCCCTCTCAGTGAATAGGTAACTGGGTGAAGGTGAGTTGTAATGTCTTTGTCTTATCACATGCCTCCATCTCCTGGAGGGAGGGTGCCCAAGGAAGAGGGCAGGAGGGTTTCTTGTGCTCCTTGAAGGGATAAGTGGTTCATAAACAATTCCCTCTGGGCCTCTGTTCTTTAGAATGAGAGTTAGTCTGCAAGTTAGGGCCTAGCAATTAGAATCAGTCAGTTGCACTGAGCTTATACTCTGTGCCCTGGAAACATTGTAGAAGAAACATCTGAGTGAGTCATGACAGAGAGGTACCACTAGGTAGTCCTAGTTGGAAGCCTCTAACATGCTCCAGGGAATCGGTCCACTAATTTGTAGGGGAGAGAAAGAGGTGAGATCTGTTAATTTTGCTCTCAGTTCTGGAGATAAAGTGCTAACTCTGGCGCAGGGATAAATCTAGAAATGATGTGGGCAAGCCCTAAAAGTGGATCCTTTAGTGCTAAGACTAAAGGACAATAATAAAAAAACTTCAGTTCCTTCATAAGAGAGCCAACCCAGCTATATGGTGGCTGGGGTAAACGCAGGTGCCATCTTCCTACATCATCCTCTGGATCTCCTCAAAGTTCATCAGGTTGTTGGCTGTGTCAGACCAGGCAGGGTGCTGGGCTCCATCCATCTCAGAAGCAAGCTGGTTGCTACTTTCCAGAGTATGATGTGTGCCACCAATCACCTCCTTACAGTCAGGACAGGTGCCCCTCTGCATGGCTCCCCCACAATCACTAATCGCATAGATATGGCCATTGGAGCACTTGAACCAGTGGCCACGAGGAAAACCCATGGCATTGACAATCTGCACTCGCTCTTCCTCTGAGATGCCCAGGCCAGAGCAGGGAAGGGTGGCTTTCAGAAGTTCCATCTTTCTCTGCACAAGCTGTTCATCCTCCTGGGTGAACTTACATGTTTTCTCGAGGACATTCCGGACACTGTAGACCTCTTCTGCTATGCTACCTTTTATCTTCTCTGCCATCTTGCAGCGGCTCAGGAGGTTCAGTAGATACGTGAGCCTCTTGATTTCACTTTGGAGGTCACTCAGTTCCTGACTGGTGAAGCTCAAGCGCTTCTTGGCCAGCCACTGATGGACCTGCTCTAGTCGAGTCCTCACTCTTTCTTGTTCTAAGATATGCACCTTTTTCAGGGAATCCCACAGGCTGGCCAAGTGGTCATAGAAACCAATGTAATTCTCAACAAGGCCCAGGTCCTTCACTGACAGATTTTTCTGGGCCAGCTTTTCCTTTAGCATCAAGAAATCTTCAGGAAGTATTTGATGGAGGAGGTTCTTCCTCTCCAGCAGGGCCTTAAGTTGTTCTTGGCTGGTTGCAATTTCCCCTGCTGAGCCTTGGATCTTTTCCTTGATGATTTCAATCTCTTCCAGCCGCTCTTTGATGCTGGTTCCATACCTCAGATTTTTGCGGATGGGCACCTGGCAGATAGGGCAGACCTTCAGCTTGATGGCGACTTCATCATCCTTCTGCTCATTCATGTAGCGGTCCAAGGCTTGTACCTCGAAGATGTGGCTGCAGTCCTCTAGCTGCACAAAGCGGGCATCAGGCTCATCCTCAAAGCCAAAGAAGATTTGGGTGACTTCATCCAGGTTGCAGACACGGCACTTCTTGGGGCAGGGCTCCCCGCACAGACCTATGCAGGGGTGGCCACAAGCCAGCAGCTTAGTACAAGGCACATAGCATGGGGGTCGGTTGCAGGGTTCAGAGCAGAGTTTTGTGCACTGGAAGTGCTGGCAGCGCCAGACACAGGGTTCCACACAGGGGCTGCACAGCTCCCCACACTTCTTCTTGCACTGGCTGTGGACACAACGGTTTTGACAGGTACGCTGGCAGGGTGGGCACTCGCCAATGCATGGCTCCTGGCACTTGTGTGAGCAGATGAGCAGGCGCTTGCAGGGCTGCTGACAGCGCTCATGGAAGCGCCCTTCATAGCAGGTATGGCAGGAACCGGGACAAGGATGGCCGCAGTCCAAGATGGTGCCACACTTGGTGGTGCACTTGACTGGCAGATCAAACTCGAGGTCTTTCACATTACCACACTTCACCGGTTGGCTGTGCCCACACTTGAGTTTCACGGTGACCAATTCTGAACACAACCTCACACAGTCCTCCCCACATGAATGGCTGCATCTGTGCCCACATCTCAGGACCCTGGGACAAGGCTCCTGGCAGCAGAAATCTGACTCAGGCATGGAACAAGGGACCATTTGTTCATGGCCACACTGAGGAATGATTTTGGGCACTTTTACCTGACAAGGCTGACACTCCTGGAAGCAAACAAGGGGGCACCGGTGCCCATCCTGGCAGATGACTTTCTGGCATGGCTTCATGCACTGGAACTCCTTATGTGAGGAGTCATAGGGGTGGCAGGCACGGGTGCAGACATGCCCACAGGCCAGCCGGAACTCACAAGGCAGGTTGCAGCCTCCTTCCGGCACTTTTTGGAAGTCAGAAGCTTTGGATACTAAGGTGTGGGTATTAGGGTGGTTCTGGCAGCAGAGCTGGAGTGCGGGGCCTATCTGATTGTTCTCTCGAAGGGTATGGATGATCTTGCTCCACAAGGGCACCCTTGCCAGCATCTGCATGTTTCCAATGCAGTACATGCCCTTCTTGGCTCGGGACAAGGCCACGCAGATGCGGTTGGATATCTGGAGAAAACCCACCTTGCCTTCCTGGTTGCTTCGCACTAGAGAGAGGAGGAGGATGTCATTCTCTTCTCCTTGATATTTGTCCACGACATGGACCTTGATGCCAGCAAATGTCTTGGTAGGCATGAGTTTGCGCAGGCAGAAGAGCTGTCCGGTATAGGTGGTGAGGATTGTAATCTGGGACGGCAAATATTCCTGGCACAGGAAGTACTTGCACAACTCCACGACAAAGTGAGCCTCGTGCTGGTTCTGATGGCTTCTGCCTTCTTGAATTTCCTGTTCAGGAAAGTTGTGTTCTACAAAGAAAAGGTTGGAAAAGACACCCTGAAAAGGAAAAGAAGTGGCATATTAGAAGGTTCACTCATGGCCTTTGCTGTCTTCTTCCTATCTTCATAGGCACTGGCCACTAACCTTGCTCCAGAGGGAGAACCTGGAAAGCTTTCTGTACCTTCCACATCACTATCTTTAATTCTGAAGTTAGTCACTATATGCTTTGTTTGGGGCCATGGTAAACTATGAAATGGATAAAGAATTTATGTCTGTTTTAGTTTTCAAGATACATGTATGATATTAACATTTAAAATAGCCACCCGCAATGTAAGACTTACAGCCAGGGGAACGAGCGGCTAACTTACTGAGCACTCACTCTGCTGTGCTCACCACTTTACATGCATTTCCTCCTCAGTACAGGCAGGATGAGGCATGAACCATTACTCGCATTGTCCAGAGGAAGACCCTGACACTCAGAATTTTTATATAACTTGCTAAACATTACACAGCTACTAAGTGGCAGAGCTGGGATTAAAAAACCCAGGTCTGTATTCTCAATTTCTATACTATTTTTTCTCCCAATAGCCAGTTTTTTAAAAAAGCTGGTTCTGTTCTCTTCTGAAAGCCCTTTTTTCTTCCTGAGGAAAATATAGTCTCCTAGGCTGTGGACACCATCAAGGAAAGACCAGATAGAACAGTCTCACCTTAATCTTCTCATACTTGAGAACAGAGGGGTGATTCTTCAGATCCTGGTAAATGTGGGGGGTCAAAAGGCGGGCAATTTCAGGGCGCATACGGTGCTGGAACAATATGTGTATGTCATTAGAAACATGGACAGAGGACAAGTGGACAATTTCTCTAAAGACTAGGTTGCTGGGGGAAAATCTAGAGGTAACAATTGAAAATAATAATAGGGAGAAAGCATAATGTAAACAGCTCCTTCGTCTAACAAAAAGTTAACACAAGGTGATCTTCTGGTCATTACTAAACTGGTTTTGTTTTTATAAGACCTCTCTTACTGGCAGTTGGCAGGCTCCCAGGAGCCTTCTCCTGGGCGTTTGGTAATAACAGAGGTCTAGCTTCTCACCTGATAATTCAGACGTACAAAGGGAATGTTGACTTTCACTAGCCGTTCAAAAAGGGACACCTCAAGGTTGAAGTTCTTGGCCAGATCATACACATTGGCACTGGGACGCAGCTGAGAAGAGAAACATGGCAGAGGATTCTCTATTGAAAATGTATTTTAACCATCCATCCATCCATCTTCTGTCCATCCATCCATCTAGCAAATGTTTTTTAATTACCTATGTGCCAGGCACCATTCTAGCTGCTGACAGGTTAAGGTTTAATAGTGACAAGGGCTGTGAAGACAAGAGCTAAGGGTGATGTGAGAGTGCCTGAGGTTGGGGGTGGGGGGGTCAACTAGGCCTCTCTGAACCGTGACATCTGAGTTGATACCAGTATGAATGAAGTGGCCAGTCAGTTATTTGAAAAGCAAGCCATGAGAGGGAGCAGGAAGGACGGACGGTGGGAAGACCATGAGCAAATGAGATGAAATCAGAGAAACAAGCCAATACCTGATCATATTGGCTTTTCTAGGCCACTTTAAGAAGCCTTTATTTTTATGTTAAGTGCAATAGGAAACCACTGGAAGGTTTTAAGCTGGGAACTGACATGATCTGATTTTTAAAAATTAAAAAAATTCACTCTGGCTCCTTTATGGAGAATGGATTAGAGGGTAGCAAAAATAGAAGGGAGACTGAGGAGCATGCTATTGTAACACTCAAGAGGCCACGGTGCTCTAGGAACGTAGCAGTGAAATGGATGATGGTACTTCTAACGTACGCCCCGATTAGAACCTGGCCTTATAACATCAAGGTCAAGGGTTCAGTTCCCTGTACTTGACAGCTACCAAGAAAAAAAACAAAACAAAACAAAACAAAAATAAAATACACACCAAATCTAACAACATCTGCTCTTAGACAATATGGGAGGTGAGGGCAAGAGGAATCACAAAAAGCCACTAGTAAACTTGAAGACTGCTGAAGCAGAGAGGCTGGGGTCCTCCTGTTTGATCCCACCTTCCAGAGAGCCAGCCCATCTTCCAGATGCTCCTGCTTTACCTGCTGGTGGTCCCCAATCAGAATGAGGTGCTGGCATGCTTTGCTCAATGTGGCAATAGTATGGGCCTCAAGGACTTCGGCAGCCTCTTCCACGATGACAATCCGAGGCTCCACCTTCTGCAGGATCTGGCGGTATTTGGCAGCCCCTCAAGTCAGGAAAGGAGAAAGGCTCCTCTGAGCTAAGGCACAGGACCCATAGGGCCACTGGGCCTCTGGGAATCCTCTTTTGTACTTTCCCTGAACCTGGGTCAGTGGCAACTGACCCCTCATATTCATCCAGGGCTGTGGTGACTACTGAATGAGAGAATGGGTGCCGGGTGTTCTCCAGAGCATCACACCCATGTTGGTCACTCAGTAGGAGCAAATGGGTGAATTGTGCCAAGAGCTCCCAAAATACGAGTTGCTTTCAATAGCTTTTCATGTTATTTTCCTCTAACCTACTAAAGAAGCTTCTCTTCACCTGTCCTAGAAAATCTGATACGATGTTGGTATCAGAAGGGAACTTGGGGGCTGGCCGGTTAGCTCTCTTAGAGTGTGGCTTTGTAACACCAAAGTCAAGGGTTTATATCCCTGTACCAGCCAGCCGCCAAAAAAAAAGTGAACTTGGCTGAAACAGGTAAATTTCCCCATATTTTCTTACCTGTGGTTGTCATTCCTATGACCTGGGCATCTTTAAGGATGTGCAGGTCTTCCTGGAGTCTTAGTTCAGCCATTCTCTCTGCTGATGTGCGGTACTGGCGTTCATAGCTGAGGATCTTCCGGCGGGCGTCAGCCTGGTACATCTGTAGCCATAGCCTGGAGAAAGAAACAGGGAAAAGATGCCGTGTCTCTGAGAAGGTGGAGGAACTCCTTTCAGTGTGCCCAATGTATAAAGTGAAATCTGGACCCTCGAGGAGTTTACAGGCCAGAGAGAGAAAGAGAGAGGACCCAAGAGTCCAAAATGCCAACAAATTGATGTGCAGAGTGGTCAGGAACTAAGGAAGGGGGTAGGATAAAGAATAAAGGTTAACTATTGGGAAGAGAATAAGAGACTTCAAAAGCTTTAGGAAGAATTTCTCATATATTCTCCCTACCCCATCCCTACCTCAGTCTCTTCCCCTCTCCTAATCCTCCACAGAGTACTTGTTTTTACAAGTAAAACAGATAATGTCACTACTCTGCTATAAAACCTTCCAATGGTTCTCTGCTACTCTTCAGGTAAAATCCACACTCCCCACCTGAGCCGTACAAGGCCCTGCCCACCCTTCTAACTTTACTTGCCATCTTTCTCTGTGCCAGAGTCACACAGCTATGCTCCCTCCCATCTCAGGGCCTTTGCCTATGTGGTCCCCTCAACCTCATCTGCTCCCCCTTTTCCCCTGGACTTGATAATGCCTACTCATCTTTCAGATCTTGCTTCCAACACCATCATGTTCCTGGATACCTCAGACTGGCTCAGATATCACATAATATTCTTAGTATTTCTTGCTCTTTTCCTTCATAGTGTTTACGCCCACTTTTATTTGTGGAATTATGTGACTCACTTGTCTCTGGATAGACTCAACACTCCATGAAGGTAGAGCAAGTGTCCATTCTATCCCATTGCTTCATCCGCAGCACTGAGCTCAGTGGTAGTACTCAATCAATAATTAGCTAACATTGTTGAACGTCTTGGGGGTGGGGAGTGTTCTGGGAACAGAAAAGAACAGAACTTCCTGGGGAAATTAAATGGGCGGGCTAAGAGTTGGGTACAGTACCTATAAAGCCGCCACCGAGAATTCAGGTCCAGCTGCCAAACGTCCCAGATCTCACTGGCCTCAGCTTCAGTCATGGTGTTCAGTTTGCGAAGCTCAACCTTCACTTTCTTCTTCATTTTCTTTTTCTGTTTACTCTGGGTCTGTAGACAAACAATACCAAGTACAGTACCGTCGAGCCAAGGCAGGCCCAGTTCTAAGCCCAAGGTGGTGACCGTAGCACATAAGAAAAAGGGCTGCCATTTCTGATGGACTTCAAGCATCTCACACTCTTCCAACAGCTATTCCATTGGACAGTTGACTAAACAAGGACTCTGGAGCCAATTTGCCTGGGTTCAAAGCCCCACTTGACCTCTTATTAGGGTGTGATACCTAGGGCAAGTTCCTTAACCTCTGAGTGACTCAGCATCCCCTTCTATAAAATGGGAATAATAATAGCACTTCTTCATAGGGTAGTTCGCTTGACAGGAGTAAATACATGGAAAGCAATTATAACAGTGCTGGCACTAGTTATCATTGAATGTCTTTTGACCACAATCTGCTTCTCATTCCTAAAACATGTGTCAGGAAGTAGTAGGGGTGGGTTTCTCTTGTTGACTGCTGTACTACCAATGCCTAGCAGCCAGTGCTTAGTGCAGGGCTTGGCAGAGGGCCTGCTAAAGTGGTCCTAATGCCATCATATCAATGTAGTACCTTTAACAAGTAGGTAAAAGGCACTGTTTAGGAGAAAGTGCTTTCTCTTGGCTCTGCCACTGAGTCTGAGGCCATGAGCCTTTAGAAGGATTGGCATGTGAGATGGATGTCACCAGATTAAAGACAACTCCCTGCCTTCAAAACCAAACAAATCAACCTCTCCTGAGGCCAAATGGCAGAAAGATGCCCAATCCATGCTTCTAAAGATTGGGATCATGACTCCACCCCCTACGTATAGCGATGTTGAACTAAGCTAGGAGATCAGGTACAAAGGCAGCAGTTGAGTGAAAACTGCATCCAAAGTTGCCCTTGAGAGTCCCTAAATTATCACTGGGGTTTAAAATTTATTTTGAGTATCCAGTCCTCTATCATCATAATAATGCATGGTGAATTCTGAGGACGACTGGGCTTGACCAAAAGAAGGAGCAAAGGGAAAGTCTACATGGAGACATCTGGGCATTCACACCATTCTGCCTTTTAGAGGTGTCAAATTCCAACGTCAATGAAGGATGAGTATTCCATCCAGTCTGGGGGCCTTGCATCATTGTTTTACTTTGACCTTCTAAAATCTTAATACATGTTCACAGAAGATAACACACATGAAGGCATGAAGCACTGAGACCTAAGTGATCCAACTCATATGCTGCATTTTTCTAAAAGTTCTAGAGAACACTTAGCTACCTGCTTCCCACCTTTCTAAGTTGGCATTTCTTTCCAGAGCACCCCTGAAGAGCCATATACCAGGGTTAGGTTGTAAAATGCGTATATTAGCTAATTGTGAGGATGCAGTGAACACACTGTTATTAGAAGTGGGGGAAAACAGAAGTGGTCAGAACACTCTCAAGCCTGTTTTAACAGAATCTAACCCACACCCGCCTGGCAACAATAACTGAATTCCTGTTTCCCATTCTGCTGGGGCTTTCAGGGCCCTGAGGAAGTGAGTTTACCTCCCATTCTCCTGAGGCTTGCTCTTGCCCAGCTGTTGTCCTGGGGCCATAGTGGTCTAGCCTTATGGCCAGAAGCATTTTGGCCAACACCTGGTCTGCCCCATTCTCTTCCTTCTTCCGCCGCTGGGGCCTCACCACCTCTTCCTCTTCAATCACCCGGTCTGCTTGAATCAGGTCGGCTTCTTCTGCGATCTCGATCAGTGAATCCTCCTCCTCCCCTTCTTCTTGCTCCTCTCCTCCTGCTTGGGCTAAGAGAGGAAAGTAGACAAGACACAGATGGAGACTCTTGAAACCAAGGTATGGAAGAGGGCACCTAAAGAGCTCAGGTGCATGAAGACATTCTCAAGGGGCTTAAGTGGTTACCTTGGGGAAGGGAAACTGGCAGGATTGAGAGTTAGGGGAGGGAGACTTAGGTTTCTTTATATACTCTTTTGTTACATGTTTTATATTTTAAAAATCACATGAATGCATGCCTTAAGAAACGTTTTACTTGCTTTCTGCTCCTGTCATATTTGCCATGTGATACCCTGAGTTTCTATAATCACCACCAGGACAAGGCCTTCACCAGATGTGTTCCATAGACTTTGGAATTACCAGCCTCTGAAATTATGACAAATCCAGCCTACTTCCAAGCAATATCAGGATGATGCCCCTGTTGTTATTCCTGCAATGTTCTGTATGCTATTGAATGTGAAGAATGCACAGTGCAGTAAATCATCATTAACTGTGACTGAAACCCCAGGAAAAGGACTAAAAGTACTGAATTCATCATTACAAACAAGATGTATAAAGTAATCATAAAGCAAAATGACTGGCTTGGGTTTGTAACTATTTCTAAGTTATACATTCAACAAATATCTACCTAATAAATAATTCAAGATGGTTAAAAAAAAAGTCTTACTTATATCAAATAGACATATAAAGAAGTATATACAATGTAAATATGCAGTTTAAAGGATAATAAAAATATATAAAATGAACATCCAGGTACCTTCCACTCAATTTAAGGAGAAAACTACCAAATCTTTTTATGATTCTGTGGGCTCTTCTAACCTGAATTTTATATTAGTCATTTCCCCTTAAAAACAAAAAAAGTTATCATATATATACTATATATCTCTATAAACAACACGTTGTCTAGTATATATATTTTTCTGTAACTTGCCTTTTTCATTCAGCATGTTTTTTGAGATTCATGTATGTTGCTGTATATGCTGTGGTTTGTTCCTTTTCACTGTTATATAGTATTTCATTATCTGAGTAGATTGTAATTGATCTATCCATCGTACAAATGTTGATGAATATTTGAGTTCTTCCTGTTTTTTTGCTATCATAAAGTAGATGTGCCAATTTATATCCCGACTAGCAGGGTATCAGAGTTCCCACTGATCCACACCCTCATCAATATAGGGTTATATCAGACTTTTTAATTTTTGCCAATCTGGTAGGTGTGTAATAGTACCTCATTGGGTTTTTTTTTTTTTTTGGATGGCAAGCAGGATGTATTAGTGAGTGTGAGTAAGGAGGGGCAGCACAGTGAAAACTCTCACAAGTGTCCAGGGGGCCACTGTTGGTGATATATTTAACCCCACAACCATCTGGGATGAGCTGCTGCTCAGCCACCATGTTTTTAAATTCACTGACATTAAACTTGGTAAAGCCCCACATCTTTGAGATGTGGATCTTCTGGAGGCCAGGGAACTTCAACTTAGCCCTACATAGGGCCTCAATCATATGCTCCTCATTCTGCAGCTTGGTGTGGATAAGCATGATGATTTGGCCAATGTGAACCCTGGCCACTGTGCCCTGGGCTTTCCAAAGGTACCCCACATACTTGTCTGGAGCCTAGACTGGGACAGTGCTAGGTAAGGGACATGAATGTCTATTGGAAAGGGCTGCCTTCAAGGTCCCTTAAGGCAGCCCATATAAGCAACAGTCTGCATACACTACCAAGGAGGCTGCTGTTTGCAGCCACTGTATACTGGGCCCTCACGAGGAAAGGAGCATAGTGGGCTTAATTGGCTGAAGAGGACTCACTGAGTTTTAATTCCCCTAGTTTGTTCCTTTTTTTCTTTTTCTTTTTTTTATTGGCTAAATAAAAGTTTTTATTTAAAAATCTTTTAATATATACCAAATAAGAAATCAGCAGTTTCTACCCTTCTCTCTTCCATTCCAAGTCTCACAACCTCAGAGGCAAACCTTTTTAATGGTTCCTATTTTTAATTTTAGTATAAATTTAGTTCTTCAAAAAATTCATAATGGGATAGAATAACTTTATTAACAGTCCCCCCTATTATTAGATGTATTAGTCCATTTCTGTTGCTTATAAACAGAATACCTGAAACTGAGTAATTTATAAAAAAATGAAATTTCTTTTTTTGGCGGGTGGGGTTGGGTTTGGCAGATTGGCTGGTAAGATCTGAGCCCTTGACCTTGGTGTTATCTGAAATTTATTTCTTACATTTTGGAGCCTGGGAAGTCCAATGTCCAGGGAACACATCTGGTGAGAGCCTTCTTCTTGGTGGTGACTCTCTACAGTGACATAGGGTGTTACACGGCAAGAATGGCTTGAGCAAAAGCTAATACTCCTTGTTTCTAATGAGCACTTTTCATATATCTATTGACCAACAGGATTTCTTATTTTGTGTTGTGTCTGTTGAAAGTCTTTTACCTATTTTCCTATTAAGCTATTTGTCATTCTCTGATTGATTCATAGAGCTTTATGTTTTCTGGGCAAAACTTTTAAGTCCTGCTGTTCTGGTCTTTATAATATTCTACCTTAAGAAATGCACTTCTTACCTGTATTCTCAGGTCCTGCTGGAGCAACATTTTGGGTGAAAGAACCGACACCTAGACCCAGCCACTCCAGCATCATGGAACGCTTCCAACACTGGAAGTTGACCCATTCACTATCCTGAGGAAGGAAGAATTATCAGTCACAAGAATTCTATGATAATGTGTGATGGCAAGGTCTCCTCAAAGGGTAAAAAGTAATTCCCTTATAATTCTGAGGTTGCAGGGCTGGACCGTAGCTCACTTGGGAGAGTGTGGTACTGACAACACCAAGTCAAGGGTTAAGATCCCCTTGCCGGTCATCTTATATAGGGACTTTTATAATTAAAAAAAAAAAAAATTCTGAGGTTGCAAATTAGCATCTCTTGAACAACTAGAACATTTAATGTGACATGCATAGAATTTAAAAAATCAAAATTTCTATCCTCTCTTGACAAAATCAGGAGCTATGACAACAATGAGCCTGTATAACTGAATGGCAGCAAATGGCTGGAACTAGGTTGCTGCTACCCCTTTTCTAGTTTGCTGGAGTCTTACTTGCTAATGTTTCACTTTTAGACTGCTTCACTTATTTATAGAACTTGATTGATCCCTTTAAGCTTTTGGGTGTGTAACTCTGGAAATCACCAACCCAATGATAATAGAGCTACCATTTGCAGAGATCATCTCAGTTATTTCTTACAATATAATTTGAAGGCAGACATTATTATTATCCTTGTTTGATTGTTGAGGATCACACTTGTCCAAGTCTGTGTGACCACACAGTCAGTCTAGGTTTATCAACTCCCAAGCTGTCTATATGTGCTAGGTTGTCTCTGCTTATGATTTTATTTAACATGATTTTGTTTATTTTCATTTAACAAACACTTATAGCACACTTATGAAGACACTTACAAATATTAACTTGTTTATCCAAATAACAGTAAGATAAGAGTTAAGTTGATCTGTAAGAAATTGCCATTTTTGCAAGTCAAATTTACAAATATTGGCAACTTTATATGGTTCAACTTAAAGCTATTATTATCCTCACTTTGTAATAAGAGGAAACAGGCACAGAAAAATTAATTAACTTGTACAAGGCAAAGCTAGGATTCAAACCCAGCAGGCTGGTTCCAGAGTCTTGTACCTGACCAATATACTCAAATGCCTTTCATCATGAAAGGGAATTTTTTACATTATGGCAGCGTTAGATTGCCAAACAGCTAAAGCTTTGGATTGCTGCATCTGTTGGAGTTTTCCTTCAAGTACTGAGGCAAGTGACATGTTTGGGTCCCCTGGGGTGACCCCTACCTGCACTGGTCCATTCATCAGGCTTTCCCAGTGTTGGGGGGAGATGTATTTCTCCAGGTGCTGTTCCCGTATAACGCCACGCATGGTGCACTCCAGGGTCTGGGCTCCTTCACGAAGCTCTTGCTCTGACTCCTTCATCTGTGTTATGATCTGCCAAGAACAGAGGGAAAGAATGATGAGGAAATATCATCATCCCCCAAACTCAGTCCCTGCCCTGAGGGAAAATGAAGCTAAGACAGAATAAATAAATACACCAGTCAACAAACCAATTTCCCAAGGCACATTATTGTGGTCTTGAAACCAAAAGGTTTGTATCCAAAATGTCTACAGACTCTTACCAATCAGTAAGAAAAGGAAACACATAATACAACAGAAAAACAGGCCAAGGATACTGTGACCGAGGCTTCAAGCCTCACAGTATCTGTTCTCTCTCTTTTCCTTGGTAATAAGAACTGAGATTTTTGGTTGGGTACATTGCTGCCCAGCTAAAAGATGATATTTCCCTGATTAATGGGCTCTAATAGTGCTGTGGGTGATTTGGGGAGGTAGCCTTAAAGTCTTGGCAGGAGTGGGGAAGGGCAGTGTGCCCTTCTTTGTCCTTTCCTCATCTTGGATTATGAAGGCAAAGATCACACCAAGAAATTAGAAGAAAGGAATGATGGAAGGGATCTGGGTTCTTCAGAGCATTGAGGAACCTCCATATCTGGGCTGCCTACCCAGATATCCACTTCTATCTTGTTTAGGTCCCCCTTTAATTCCCTCAAACATTCCAGAGCTGGGACTTACACTCATGTACGCCCTTCGGAGGTGCATGGGCAGGTTGCGGCGGAATTCCCGCTTGTTCCTCAGCTCCCTCAGAGTGAACTGCTTCAGGATTTCACTGTTGCTCCTTCCACCCACCCGCACGATGCTGGTCTTCTGACATTTGTAGATGCCTGTGGAGCACAGTGGAGTATGGTAGGGTTGAGAGGAGCTATGCTGGGTTCTCGGGTAAGAGTTATGTGTGTATGGGATCCTGTCTCAATTGGTCCCTTAGTGAACAAACTTGTGCTTTCAGGAAATTTACTCCATTAATGAGCAAGAAGACCCCAGAGAGGATGTGACCTGCAGAGCATAAAGTGTAGTGCTTAAGAGCATAGGCTCTGGAATAAGACAACTGGGGACCCAAATCTTGTCTTCACCACTTACTGCTGTGTAACCTGGGGCAAGTTACTCGAGTCTCAATTTCTTTGTCTGTGATTTAGAGGCAATAATACTTTCCTCATAGAGCTACAGTCTGGATAAATGAAAGAATATCTTTATACCCCCTCACTAGGTCCTGGTACAAAGCAAGCACTCAGTAAATGTTACATATTATTTGCTTGGCAGATTTACGGATTGCTTATATGTTCCAGGCATGGGCCAGGTTCTAAAGATATAGCAGTCAATACACAGACTTGATTTGATTTGTTCTCATATCTCAAAGTCTAGCAGAGAAGGTACTCATTAAATAATTTATTAATTTATTTTTCTTTATTTATATTTTTGTGGCTGGCCAGTGCAAGGATCTGAACCCTTGACCTTGGTGGTGTAACACCACACTCTAACCAACTGAGCTAACTGGCCAGCCCTCATTAAACAATTTATTACAATAGTGAAAAGTGTAATAAGTATTGTGAGTACATGATGCTATCGGTGGATAGCAGGAGACCTTACCTAATCTGGGTGGGTAGGGATCTATTCTTGAGGATCTAATATTTAAACTGAGACTCTAAGAATAAAGAAGATTTATCTAGGTGAAAAGAGGGTATGGAAGAATGTTAAATAATATTCTAAGCAAAAGAGAAAAAGCACATACTCATTCATTCATTAATGCAGTTAGTATTTTTCGAGTACCTAATATGTGCCACAATCTGTGAATACAGCAAGAAACAGGACCACCCCTCACAGTGTTTACAGTCTAGGGTAGAGACACATAAAACAGACTACAAAAAAAGAAAAAATACAAAAGGAGACTTGTTTGGGGACAATAGCAAAAATCTACCCAAAGAAGAGAGTTTAAAGTGAGACCTGAAGAATGAGTTGGAGCCACTCAGGCTGGATAAGTTCAAGATGAAGAGAGAGAGAGAGAGGGGAAAAAAGTGCATTCCAGGCAGGGCACCAGCATGGACCAAGGGAGAAGCTAGAGAAATTCAAGGAATTGAAGACACTCAGTGTTGTTGGAATTAGGGAGAACAAGGGAAGAAGTAAAAGATACAGCTTAGAGTTGGGCTGGGACAGATCATGCATGGCCTTGAAAGTCATGATAAGGACTGTGGACTTTACTCAAAAAGCAATACAAAGATAATGAAGTTGCTGATGTTGTTGGTTCAACCACAGATGTCTTGATAGAGAACGAGTTTGCTCAGATATTACCTTCCAGAAACTGGTCCAAAGCGTGATTTGTATAACACACAACCAAGATGGGGAACTTCTGGAGGCTAATTTGCCAAACGGACTCATTGGTTAGAAGGGCCTGAACAATTTTTAGACCAACATAGGTTTTGCCTAGAAAATAAGGAAAAAGAAATTTCAAAATTTAGAGACTTTATAAAAGGAGTAATTAATTACTTAGAGCAAAAATTTGTTAAATTTTATTTTAAGGTAATACACTGAGATGGTTTAAAATCCAAGAAGCACAGCTGGGTATACTGTGAAAAGTTCCCCCTGCACTTCTGTCCCCTAGTCACCCAGTTCCTCTTGCTGGAAGAAACCAATATTACCAGTTTCTTGTGAACTTTCCAGAGATAGTCTTTTTTTTTTTTTTAAAAGATGACTGGTAAGGGGATCTTAACCCTTGACTTGATGTTGTCAACACCACGCTCTCCAAGTGAGCAAATTGGCCATCCGTATATAGGGATCCGAACCCATGGTCTTGGTGCCATCAGCACTGCACTCTCCCGAGTGAACTACGAGGCCGACCCTCATTTTGCTTTTTTTTTTTTTTTTTACAGCTATAAGGTATTTTTTAGCCAACTCCCTATTGATGGACATATATGTTTTTTCTAATATCATATGGCAAATTCTTTAGAAATTCTTTTTATATACCGTGGTAGACTTGCCTTTGTGATGGGAGGGGAAAACTCAGAAATCAACATTGGAGTCAGAGTTATGGGCTCCTTAGTAATTGGCCATTAATTAATTAATTAAGTCTACAAACTGACAAACTCTTACATTGTGTCAGGCTGAGTAAGGCAGCCACTGTCCTCAAAACTCAAAGTTTGTTATAACACCAAGGTCAAGGATTTGGATTGCCATACTGGCCAGCTGCAAAAGAAAACCCCCAAAAACAAAAAAAACAGGAACAAGAAACTCGAATTTGAGTGAGTAATACAAGAAAATCAAAGACTTCATTATATCATGATAAGTTATTTCTTCCTTCATTTTTTTTCTTTAAATATTTATTGAGTGCCTATCAGGTGTCAGGCACTGGGTAAGGTGCAAGAAATATGATAGTGAGCAAAACAGACATGGTTCTTATCCTCCTGGACCTTACAGACTTATAGAGGAGAAAGATAATAATTAATCACACAAACAAATATAAAAGCATAAATGTGGTAAATGAGAAATACATGGTATTATGAAAACATATAACTAGGACTACAGCCTAGTCAATGAGGTTGGGAGAGGCTTCCCTGGGGAAGTGATAATTGGGAAAGAGCAGGCAAGAGGTAAAAGGGGTGGACTGGTCAGCAGGCTCCTGTCATCTTCTAGGTGAGTGAAGACCAGTGCCTGCCTCCAGCAGTGGAGATTAGATAAACAGGCAGACAAGGAAGAAGTTTCAGAGATAAAAGGAGTTTCAGAGGTGAAAATGCAGGAATCATAAAAAGAATGAGGTACATTTCTAAATGTGACTGTAATGTAAAGAATAATGGTTTGGTAATGGTTTGGCTGGGGTGGGAGGTAGGTAGTGAGCAGGAAAGGATAACTCCTATAACTCCTAGGTTTCTAGTTTGGTGGTTTGGAGGACTGGACGGATAAGGATACTTTAGTGGGAAAGAGAATCTTTCTAATTCAATATTTACTCTATCCCCTTCCAGTGTTTTCCTTCCCCTTACAGTAGATATGTTATGGAACTTCTACTCCTAAAATGATCTCCTTTACTACCTTCTCCCATACTCATTGGTAGGCCCTGTGTGTGTGTGTGTGTGTGTGTGTGTGTGTGTGTGTGTGTGTGTGTGTGTGTGTGTGGTGTGGTGTGTCTGTCTAATGCTAGTGTGAAATGATTACTAAACTTGGAATTAAAGAGTCAAGTGATAACATTAGAAGAAATTATTTGCAACATGCATATTTTTAATATACAAACAGCTCCTACAAATCAATAAGAAGAAGCAATTCAACAGAAATATGGGCAAAGACTATGAAAAGGCAATCCATAGGAATAGAAATATAAACAGCTAATAAGCACAAGAAGGACATTTAATCTCATTTTTTACTGAAGAAATACAAAGTAACTACTGTGATATACACTACCAGAGAGCAAACTGGAAACATCTATTAAAATTAAAAATGCACACATTTTTGAACCAGTTAGGAATTTCTTTTCTGGATATATTCTATTTGTGTGTAAAAAGACTCACAAACAAGGCTATTAATTGAACTAATGTTTGTAATAGTAAATCCACAGGAAAGTGGTTAAATATGAAAGGGTCTCCAAGATACTTTACAAGCGAGCAAAGTAATGTGCAAAACAGTGTTTATATCACAGTAGTTTTAAAGAAAGTAGGGGGAAATGGGAACTGACTGGGATGGTGGGAGGAGGGAGATAGGGACTTTAAAAAAAAAATCGAGCCATAATTTATTAAATAAAAATAAAAGTAATAATGAGACAAATGTAATAATAAAAATGAGCCCCAAATTTTAAATTCTCAGATCAACAAAATCTAAAAAAATTGATAACATACAACAATGCTGAAAAGGATGAAGGAAATGAACACTAGTTCGTTCTTGGTGGGAGTATAAACTGGTACATCCTCCTCACTCCCCTTTTTTTAAAGCCCTCAAAACATCACTTTAAACTATTTTCCCATATTGTGTATCTTATTAAAAAGAACTTTCCATTCTGTTACACAAAATTTTTATCATGAGTTGCCATTACTTTATCAGTGTTTTTAAAGACCTCTTCCTGTTTTTATAATCTTTTTTGAGGGGGGGGGCGGGTTACATCCTTTCGGGAGGTTAATTTAGCAGTAACTATTATAACTATTAATGTAAATTTCCACTTTCAGAGGAAAAAACTGCAGAAATAATAAGCAGAGTACCCCAAAATACACACACATAGAGATATAGATATACAGGTATATGGATATTTATTATAGCACTGTGTGTAACCCAAAAGAAAACAATTATGGGGCATTCAGATACTAGAATACTATGTAGGGATAGTAAAAAGAATGAGGTACATTTCTAAATGTGACTGTAATGTAAAGAATATAAAGATGTCCATAACATGTTACATATAATACATTGTAGAACAATATATAGGGCATAATCCTATTTTTGTTAAATAAAAATAGAAAAAGTATATGGGTACATACGTAAACATATAAATACACATACAGTACAGACACACAGATATATCAACGTTAACCTTAGAGAACATCTGGAAAGATGCGTATCAAAGTGCTAATAGCAGTTACCACCCCAGAGTAGGATTACAGAATGGAGTATGGGAAGGAGAGTAGAGGGAGGTATATTTCCATGAAAGGCAAGTACAGTGTGGTAGATAGGAGCCAGGACTCTACAGCCAGACTGCTTGAGTTCAAGTCCTACGTCTATTATTTACCATCTGTGTGAGCTTCAACACACACCTCACACCTCTTAAATAAGAGCTTATTTAACCTTTCTTTGCTTTAGCCTTCTCATCTGTAAAATGATTTTAATAATGGTTTCTACCTCACTGAGTTGTTGTGAGGATACAATGACTTAACATATGTAAAGTGTGTAAAACAGTGCTTGGCACATAGTACTATTATTATATATTGATACTATTTAACTTAAAATAACATAAAATTGAACAAATATATCCTTCAGTGAAGCAGAGAGAATCCATCTCCCTAAGTGTGACCTCTAGCAGTCTTTTCTAATCTTGTGATTTTTGGTCTATTACTATGCATGCCAATGGGTCCTCATTGGAAAATCACTATAAGCAGCTACTTTTTTTTTTTTTGGTGGCTGGCTGGTATGGTCAAACCTTTGACCTTGGTGTTATAATACCATGCTCTAGCCAACTGAGCTAACTGGACAGACCCATAAGTGGCTACTTTATAAACAACTTTGATGCCCATTTCAGGAGAAGGTTTCCAAATGAGACATTCTAGAAACATAGAGTCAGGCCTCCCTTGCCTATCTCATAGGGCAGAAGTTATGTGCGCTGAAAAATTCTCTGTCTTACCTGTTCCAGGAGGTCCTTGAATAATAGCCAGTTCACTTGTGAGTGCGAATTGCAAGGCTTCCATCTGGGAGTCATCCAGGTTCAGGGCTTCTTTTGAGGGCCACTGGTTAGGGTCTAAGACATTAACTCTGGAGTATCTGAAGCCCTCGGCATTCCTCAGAGATTCCCCAGTGGCTGAGGGATTCTCTATTAAGGAGGTGAAATCATATCTACCTCCCATTAGCAAGTACCTTGGCTCCTTCACATCTGAGTTGCACTCCACGATGTTCCTCTGGAAGGGGACATCTTCCTCCTGGACCTCCTGGAGTCCTTCCAGGACGTGCCTATAGGCCTCAAAGTATGCAGTTGTCTCCACCATGAGGAAAGAGTCAGAGGGCTGGACATCTGCTAAAAGCTGTTGGCTTTGTTCATTGAAGGAAAGCTGGACAATTCCTTGGCAGAGATCTTCTTGTTCCCGGTTAGAAACAGTGGCAAAAAGAAATGTCTCAAAGTTGTCCTTGGACATGCATACCAAGGATCCATAGAGTAATCGCTTGGAATTCTGCCAGCGAACAAACTTCAGTGGTTTTGTGTCAAACTGTACCTTGTAGACAATGCCTGATGATGAACACAAAGGGGTGATAATCCTGGTATCAAAGTAGATTCGGATGTCATCAAACTTTCTCTTCCTCAGGCACTGGTCTTCAAAGTTTTGGAGAAGTTCCAAAATGCCTTCCCGTAGGGGTCTGACAAAATCTTCTCTTAAGAGTCGGAAGTGGGTATCCAAATAGACAGCAGTGCTGTCATATTTTCCAGAAATGATGTTGGGGCGAAGGAAGGGCCTTTCATCCAAGTGCACTTCATTGTAGGTAGGGTAAATGGGCACAGTCCGGTAGCTCTCAACATGATCTGCCTGAGGCTTCACTAGAGTATAGGTATCCACTCTCAAAGTGCCCTCTCGCCTCTTTTCCTGCAGATGTTCAATGATGGTCTGCACCTTTTCCAGGTTCTTTTCTGTCTCCTCTTCTATGTCAACACCAGAGGCTCTCAAAGCATTAAGAGAAGCTGGCAGGAGGGAAATAAGCATGGATGTTTCCTGCACGGAGCTGGCGGGGAAGACGCTTACCAGGTCCTGGATGAGGGAGATGATGTTGCTTATATGTTTTGGATACTGGTTTCGAATGTCAGGGACAGGTTCAGTGATCATTCCTACCACATAAGTAGGCAGACAGACTTTGAGGAATTTGGAATTCTTCAATACGCCCAGAACATAGAGAATGCTCTGGCGGTCCATTTTGGAACTGCAAGCCTTCCGAAGAACCTGGCAGATAAGCTCAAGGAAGTTGGATTTCATGGAGGAATGAGACAGGAGCTCCTTTAGCCCTAAACTTGTGGCAAGTGTGATGACCACCTCTGAGGGGTCTTTCTGCAAAAGACTTTCTAGGAATTTGTAGCCCAGTTTCTTCACCTGCTGTGGCTGTTCTGCAGGCTTCTGGTGGGGGGTCCGCCACTGCTGGAAGTTTTCACTGGACCATGGTGGTCCGTGGTTCTTACCCTCCTGGTTGCCATTTCTCTGCCTGGTGTCATTCTCCTGACCATGTCTTTGGCCTCTAGCTTCGTCACTGGCATGCCCCTCCTGGTTCCTCCTTCCCTGATGTGGGTTCCTGCCCATGGCCCGAAATCTCTCTTCCCTTTGCTGGTAAGGAACAGGATGACTGTTGGCCCTGGGATGCCTTCTGGACTGGTTGGCTCCTCCTCTGAGAGCATTGGCTGGTGGGTTATTGGCCTGATTTCTAGCTCTTGGTGGTAATTCTCCATCCATAGGCCCTAAGCGCAATGGGAATATTGGGTAAGCAGAATAATCAAGGGGCAAGGAAACCCAGTAGGACAACAATAAACATGCCCTCATTTCCCAAAACAACTTAGGAGCTTACTTTTTTTTTTTTTTTTTTTTTTTTTTTTTTTGAGACTGGCCGCACCACCCTCAGCCAGTGGACGCTGGGAGCCCCCCGGGC